GTTGAGAGGGGAACATAGCTCAGTGCAAAGGCCCTGTGTTCAATTCCCAGTACTAGAAAAAAATGCCAAAATTCAGTCTAATGTCTTAAAGCAGACTTGGCTTCTAGGCTTATCTGATTATGAACCTTTTTTTTTTTTTTTGGCAGGGGACCTATTTTTTTTCAAACTTGTTACAAGTTTGAAAAGCTCCTTATATGTCCCAGCCTTGCTTGATGTTACAGAATTGTGTATCCTTCTTCTGCTCACCCCCTAATATCCAGTATCTTTGGTGAATGTCCTATGCACAGTAAACATCCCTAGCTCCTTCCATTAAATGTAAATGGGCTTCTTTATTTGGTGCAGTGCAGTTGAACAAGCTATGTATGTAAAAATTTTAGTACCAACATCTGAAATAAATTTTAATTATATATGCCATTAATCAAGTATATCTAAGAATATTTTATCATATCAATATGAAAATGTTAACGTGATACTTTGCATTCTTTTTGTACTCTTTGGATCCAGTGTGAAATTTACACATACATCTAATCTCAATTCATGAGTCTGGTTCCGAGTGTTGAGTAGCTATGTATGGGGGCTACAGTTGTCATGAAATAGAGTTCAGATCTAACATTCTGCAATAGCTAATTATCACAAGCAAGCCCATTGTTGACCCTACTAATCCATTTTCCCCTCCTCCAAGAAACTCTCTAGTTAGCTACAGTTTTTGTTTTTCACCAATTGCAGGATGTTGTACATATAAATTGAAGTTGTGTAGGTTGGTTCATGTGGGAAAATTTTTTCCTAGGGAAGGAGGATGAAAACAACTTGCAAGTTTGAAAAGCTCCTTATATTTCCCAGCCTTGCTTAGTGTTAAGAGAATTGTGTATCCCTCTTCTGCTTCCCCCCGCCCCCCAATATTCGAGTTCTCTTTTCTAGACAGGTGGACATTGTAATTAATGATGGTTTCTTGCTTGGTTATGTTTGTCTTGCTGTACTTTGTTGGCCCATTTCTCAGAATTCTCCCAGGACCATCTCTTTCTCAGACTGTAGGTTATATCGTGCTCACTGTTCAGTCTGGCTTCTGAAGTTTTAGGATGAAAACTGGGGATTATACAACTTTTTGAATGTTGACAGTTTAGTCCAAAAAAGTCAGTTTGGTTGTAGTTCATTGACTTCTTAACATTGTCTAGTCTAGGAGTTAGCACACTAACCTCCTAACTTACTCTTTTCTTTCTTTTTCTTTTTTTTTTTTTCTCTTTTCTTTCTGATTTCTTACCCTACCTCCCCTTCCCCTTCCTCTTCCCCTTCCTCTTCTCCTTCCCTGAGGTAGGTTCTCTGTAGTGCAGGCTGGCCTTGAACTTGCTTATGTAACGCTGGCTGGCCTCAATCTGAGCAATGCTCCTGCCTAGCCTCCTGAGTGCTAGGATTATAGGCATATGCCACCATGCCTTGCTGTGTCACATCAGTTTTAAAAGTTGCATGGAGTAACAAGTTCAAATAAAGTACTCCCCAAAATGCCTCGTCTGCTATTTATAAGTGATAGCTTTTTTTTTTTTAAATTTTTGGTTTTTTGGTTTTTCTCCGGTACTGGGAACCGAACTCACGACCTTGCGCTTGCCAGGCAGGCGCTTTTGCCGCTGAGCTAAATCCCCAGCCCTATAAGTGATAGCTTTTATTGTAAGAAAATTAACTTTGTTTAGATTATTGTTGCGATGTTATTTGAGACGTTTGTCTGCCGTCCGTTTGTTTTTTAAGAGCATCTTTCTGGATGGAATCTCAAGACTTCTTTACCATACTGTACTTTGGATAAGACTTGTCTTAGTTGGACTTGAAGTTTAAAAATGTCAGTTTATTCTTAGACTACTGCTAAAAATATATTAATTCTCTCCCTTTTTTATGGGTTTCTATTAAGTAGTCTAGATTAATTTCTCCCATAGGAGGAGCAATCCAATCCCTATCCAGAAGCTACTATCTCTGAAAGTGAGTTCCCTTCTTAATAGCTGATTTATTTTTCTCTTTAAACTCTTAGGCTAGTGTTCCTTGGTGCTTATAGTTTTTGATTGTTATGGCCAGCACTCTGAAAACCCACAGGCTAGACCTAAACCCTGGTATCTTCTCATTCTGGTGGAAGATTTATCATTTCTTCATAGGTGAGAAGTTACTGGCTGGAATGCCTTCCAATATTTCCCATTTTCTGCTATAAAATACCTTCTGTTCACAGAGTACCTGTCAAGTCTTAACAGATCTTTAATTTGTCCCTCTTATTTCAGAGATTTAATCTGGACCATTTTGTCCAAGAATGTATGTAAATAAATGTCAGAGTAGGGCATCTAGCCAAATGTTGTTTTGTTTGTTTTTTAGCCAAATGTTTCTTTAATGAATAACTTGCCATTTTGCCATTAATAGTGTGGCCTTTCCCACATTACTATTTTATGAGACATTATTTCATAGGAATTTCCATGGAAATACCAACTCTGAGTAGTACATACGGAGTCTGCCCAAAAATGTATGTTATCAGGAAGAGAAAAACTCATATAAATGTTTTAATACTGAATTTATTGAGACATCATGAGATTAATACAAGTTACCTTTGGCTTGTACAGTTGCAAAAGGTGCTCAAAGTGATGGCCATTAGCTTACAGACATTTATTAGTATGATGAACTGCTGAAATGTGTATACTTTTTTTGGTGGACTCTATATAATATAATCTAGTAGTCCATACTGGTTTATGGGGGGGCAGTTGAGTTATGTCTGAGAAATGGAAGTCTTAGCGTAGGTAAAAGATTTTCTGAAAACGGTGAAGTAAATTTTCTTTGTTCTGGTGAGTGTTTAGGGGTCCTAACACCATTCCTGGGTTCAGTGATTGTCTCTTGAGACTCACAGAATCCAGTCTTATTCATTGTAGTGGCCATGACTTCCAGTAAAAAGGTATAGAGCAGATTCAGCAGAGGAAAAAATGGGACACAGAGGAGTAATCCAGGTGCAAGCTTTCAAAGGTCTTCTCACGATAGCCTGGGATTAAAGAATGCCCATTAGGGTCAGGGATATAGCTCAGTGGCCTGCCCGGCAAGCACAAGGTCATGAGTTCTGTTCCCAGTACCAAAAGCAAAAAGAATGCCCTTTATTCGTCCAACAGCAAATTATGGAAACTCAAGAAACGCTACCTACCAGGGGAAGCTCAAGGCTGTGTTTACATTGGATTTGGCTAATTTTATAGGTGTGTGCACTGTTTAGCACATATGAGAAGTTTAGGTTCTTGGTTAAAAAAGCAAGTGTTCAGCATAAGGTATGTTATATAAGCAATTCTTACCAGTTGTGGGAATTCTGAAAACCCAAGGGTTGACTGTGCAAAAAAGCCTTAATGAAGATAGTCTCAGGCTTGTTGTGATAACTTGTCTGCACACTAAACTTGTTTTATGTGTTTGTTCTTTAGCTACTTACTGAAAGATTTATTGTGGACAGTATTTTTAAAGGGGGCTTTAGGGGTTTTTATATAGATAGAACAGAGCAAAATAAGTAGATGAAGAAACCACTAGACCTTTCCAGCAAAGAGATGCTTGGGAAATTTCTCTGTTGTACCACATACATTGCCCTTAAGTAAACACTGTATGTACTTAAGTAGATCCCCTTTTTTTGTGTGGGATATAAGTAGTTCAGGGGGCTGTTTGAGATTGCTTATTACTTCCTGTATAAAACAATCTTTTTCAAGGGTTAAATCTTCACTATTGCCATTTCTCTTAATCTGTAATTTCACTTAATCTGTAAGCTGCTACCTTGAAAATGTTATTACTTGAAAAATAATGAACACTTGCCCTTGAATGCAAGACTTCTAAACCCACATATAGGTGCTCCGTTTCTTCTGAATTCTAGTTTTGCATAGATCTCCTATTTCTGCTTGGATGTATGACCTTATAATCATCATCATCTGTCTGAGCTTTCCTTTTACCCACTTAGCTTTTCCTGTTGATTGAAATAGTTAATACTCATTTCTGTCTTACCCACTATTATTCTGACTGATTTCATGGCCTACTGGGCCATTTAAAATTTGTCTCACTTTGTTGTTCATTTTGGTTAGCCCCAAAGCACTGCCATTTGTTTTTTGTAAAGCACTGCCAGTTGCACTATGTTAAGTTGTTACTAAAAACCTCCCTAAGTATATAGAGTGAAACTGAAACACTGATGTGTTGAATCTCTTTGAGTTCTTGCAGGTTTGGATTTTTATCCATTGGCCTTTCCTGAATCAACTGAGAAACACCTATTCCTGATGGTCTTTGAGTTGTAGATTTTTGAGACCACTCAAGAGTTACTCTTGGGCCGGGGATATAGCTCAGTGGCATAAGCGCCTGCCTGGCAGATGCAAGGTCCTGAGTTCGATTCCCACTACCAAAAAAAGAGAGAGAGTTACTCTTAAGCAATTTTTAGGTGGAATTGATACTGTTAGAAGACAGGCCATTTTTTTCCATCTTGAAGTTGATTCTCTTCTTTAAACATCTTAACTTTTTGAAAACTTGATGATACTTCATTTGAAATTGTCATGACTATTTAAAAGCAACTTGGGAGAATTATTTAAGAAATTTAATGTGGAAACATTGGTGGTAATAGTGACTCTTTTTTTAGGTTTTTTATTGTTTTTTAGGGTTTTTTTTTTTTTTTTTATGATACTTGGAATCAAACTCAGAACCTTGAGCTTGCCAGGCAAGCACTGTGCCTCTGAGTTATCTCCCCGGCCCTTTTTTTAGTTTTGTATCAGTTGAATTTTTGTGCCTTTTTCTCTGTGTACATGGCAGTTTTTGTCAATAAAACTTAAACCCAAAAACTACAGATGTCTAGAAACGATACAGATTTTCCATTGTTTTTTTAAACCACATGTATAAGGTCATAAATACTAAACTATGAATTATATATATATTCTTTATGCTCAGGTAAAACTTGATCTAAATATCTACAGTGATCACATAGTATGATTAAAAGCCAGATGAAATGCAACTATAATTCACTTTGTTCTTTATTTTTCAAGGGACCAGTTACTCTCCACAAGAAAATTCACACAACCACAGTGCTCTTCATAGTTCAAATTCACATTCTTCTAATCCAAGCAATAATCCAAGCAAAACTTCAGATGCAGTAAGTATTTAAACATGCCAAATTTTTTCAGAAAAATTATTGGAAAAAATAATCCCACAGCAAATCTTAGATCTGATGTCTTTGAAAATGTTTTAATTGGGCCGGGGATATAGCTCAGTGGTGCAACGCCAACCTGGCAAGCTAAGGTCCTGAGTTCAATTCCCAGTACCCCCCCAACAAAAAGTTTTAATCAAAGCTGTCTTTAATATGTTTGATAGTTCATTAGCACTCTTGTGCAAAGTAAAATTTTAACTTGTGATATGAGTTCTTTTTTTAAACTTCAACACTTCTTTAAGACTTAAGATTACTTTCTTTGCATAACACATAACCTAGCATATGTTCATTATTTATTGTGTACGCTATACTCTTACCAGAATCTATAGACAAAAAGGTCTTCAGGAGCATTAAGCCCAGTGAGGGGTTGTAAGTATTTTCAAAAGTTTACATTAATGAAGAAATTGTAACTGATTTTGAATTTTTAGTGTCACAAGTTCAAATAAAATTTTTACTATATTCATTTGGCAGAAGATAAATAAGATTTCAAGGTACCAGACTATGTGAACTTGCAGAGATACAAAACTAAGATAATGTAGCCCATCTTAAAGGAAGTTTCAGACCTGTAGCGAAGACAAAAAAGCAAACATCCCAGTATATATTAAAAGTTGCATTGGGAACACTCAAGACAGGAACTCTTAGCATAGATTAGGAAGATATTAAAGTATAAGTAATACTTCCCAAAAGGTTGAATATAAATTAGCTAGCTCAGGACTTTGTATTGCAAACAGAGGAATATTTAGATGTGTATGAAATAATGTAAGGTGTTTGGTAAGCTGCAAGGATATTAATTGTGTGGGAAAAGCCATTTTGGTTACAAAGATAAGTGGGGGCAAGGTCATAAGAAGCTGTATACCTGATAAAGGTGTACAAATTACGTAGAAAGTCAGTGAAGAGCTATTGAAGGATATCATTGGTATAGTAACAAATTTATAATTTTAAAAATTATCTTTGGCTGGGGATATAGCTCAGCAGCACAGCACCTGCCTGGCAAGTGCAAAAAAATCATCTCAGCTAATAGAACTGTGGAGAATCGTTATGGGAAAGAAACAAGAATTAGAAGGAAGACCATCAAAATTGTAGGATAACAATCCAGCACATTTCTCCTTGAATATTTGGATGAGTATCATACTTTAATTGGCATTGGAAGACTTTCAGGGCTTACTACTTTTTGCCCTTTGTTGAACAGAGATAATGCATTGCCAGAAAATTGGAACATTAAGGATAATAATTGGGTAAATAGATTCTAAAGTAGTTTTAAAAAATTGTATTAAGGTCCAATTAGAAAAACAGAAATGCTAGAATTTAATACATGGATTGATTAAGCAGATACTTCAGTAATGAGGACTGAAAAAACAAAGAACCCTAAGGTAACTTACAGCAGTCTTCCCTTAGGGCCATGGAATAGTAGGAAGAAGTTGAGATTACCAGAACTTCATAGCTCAGATGAGTACCACAGAGCTGGTGGTTGTACTTCTGAGGGATCTGAAGCTAGTTGTAGGGGCAGGGATAGTAGGGTAGGGGAGAGCTGAAAACGGGAACCAGCTGGCTAAATAAAATATGTGTATTTCTCAGTGCTAGCATCACAGAGTAAAAGAAGGGTGGGATTGAGGCTGTGAGACAGCAGCTTTATAAACCCTTACAGGTGCCACTGGTGATTACACTACAGGATTTGTGATGAGTTGTTTCTCTTCATCTGTGTGCTGGGATTTTTAGAACAAGTCTCCCTCTTTTCCTAGAAAGTGATCCAAGCAACACTAACCTTAAAGATCCATTCAGAGCAAATTTTTACTTAGATTATCCAGAAATACATTGATTTAGTGAAAACATAGAGATGCCAGGGAATTTCATTGGCAGTGAAGACTGAAGAACATTACCAGAATGAGTTGAATGCTATGTGTTTGCAAGGTCAGGATTTTCCCTTCCTTTGGACATCAACTATAATTTTTTTTTTTTTTTTTTTTTTTTTTTTTTGATCTTCAGTAGGGCCCACGCTAATCTAGCCAGGATAGCCACTTCCCCTCCCAGGTTGGGGGAGTCTGGCTCCACAAACATTAGCATGCTAATGACAGTCACCTGCTGGCCCTAGGGAAGTTGTGACTTGCTCCAGCTTCCTTAAGCACAGTGGAAATACTGAAAACGACCTATTTGCTTGCCTCCATACATTCTTTCCCTCAGCAAACATTGATTGTGCACGTCCTGGGCTCTGTACTGGGCCCAGGAGATCTCACAAGGACACATTAAATAGGACATCAACTATAATTTATAATTCCCAGTTGCGGTAGGTTTTTCCGTTATAGTGTACTCATTATGGCAAGGGTAGTATTCACAAACAGGAAATTTAATCCTAACTGAGAAATTAGCTTGTGATTTTTTTTTTGTGGGTTTTCAGCTTTGTGTTTTAATATCACTTGGTGGGGAAAAGGTGGCTACCTCCATGGAGTGCTTCCCTAGCATGCTGGAAGCCCTGGTTTTGATCCCCAGCACCATACTCCCAGTCATATCTTAACAGAAGTTTTTGAGGAACTAGTAAATAATATAAAATGAATTTTCATTTTGTTTTTATAATTAAAGACTATAAGTAGGATTTATACTAGGTAACGCAAGTTTAACACCCTTTTTTTGGGAGACAGTGTCTCGCTACCTTAGGTAGTTCAGGCTACCTTGAACTCACTTTGTAGCCCAGGTTGGCCTTGAACTCAGCAGTCCTGCTTTAGCCTCCCAAATGCTGGGATTACAGGCATTCGGCACCGAGCCCAGCTCACATCATTTTTTTATAATTAGGTTTTATTGGTGCATTTTAGATATAATGATCACATTCATCATAATTTGTACCTGTGCCATGATATAACTTAATTCTTTTCTTTCTCATTCCATAACCCGCCTTGCAACCCCTCCTCCTCTCCCCATTTACAAAAGTACTGTTGCCATTTTTCCTTCTTTACTCACTTTCTTTACTTTTCCCTTTTTTTCCTTTTACCTTCCCCTCTCCTTTATACCCCTCTCCATTTGAACATTTTCTTCCTTTTTCCCAATACCTAATGTGTATTTTGGTCCTTATTTACACTCTCAGTTTCTCATACTGGAGAACAGTGCGGTATTTACACATGTATGTCTGATTTATTTCACTTGAGAGTATGGTCTCAGGGTGCATCCATTTACCTGGGAATGTCCCAGGCTTATAGTTAACACATCATTTTTAACCTAGACTATGCAGTATCTTCAATTTTTTTTTTTTCCCCTCTGAAGTTTTCAGCTTTAAATCTGTCTTGGAAAAAGCACTAACAGTATTACTTAGTTTTCTACTTAGACTTTTCATAATGGTTGAAAGTGAAGGAAAATTTATTTTTGTATAAGTTTAGTTATTGACATGTAGCTCCTTGCTAAGTTGTATCACGGACATTTATTGTATATCATACAGCATGGCTCATGGTAAATCTTTAGGAAAAGCTTATTCAGTGTACCTTTCCGATTTAAAAAAATCACAATAGGACTTACAGACATGGTAGTTTTGAATTAGTCATGGATATTTGATTTTTTTTTTGTTAAGAAAAAAAAAGGCTCTGGATTTCTTAGGGAGAAAATTTTCCTATTTAAAAACACTGTGATTATGATTTTTCCCTTCTAAATATATCATTCCAATTTTAAGTTGTTGGAAAGCTTTAAATTCAGTTGTACATGGTGTATTCATATTCTTATCCATCTTGTAAACAGTTGTCTTCTGTATATTTTATAGTTTGAGTCCTGAATCTCCTGTTTGCATCCAGTCTTTCTGGAAGTAGTACTTTCATTAAATAAAAAAAGCAAGATTTATCAGAGAATTCTTGATCACAAAAAATGCCATCTTTGGTATTTAATTAAGTGTTATTTGTTAATTCATTGTAGTTTTAGAAAAGTGATGGTACAGCTTAGGAGAGTAGAAAGGGGGATACTTTTCTGAGGAACAGAATAGCATTTTCGTAAGAGACCCAGAAGACATGTTGAATTCAAGGAGAGATGAGATACATGCCTTGGTAACTAACTTCTGTTAGGTGTGTTCTAGAGCATTCATTCTCATACTTACTTTTTTATCTATTTTTTAATGTTTTTGGTACTGGAAATCAAACTCAGGACTTCACACTTGCCAGCCAGGCACTGTGCCCCTGAGTTACACCCCCAACCCCATACTTCCTTTTTGAAAGAAAGCTTTTATGTGGGCTTCATCTTCAGAATATACTATATTAAAAACTGAAACAGATTATGTGAACTGTATTTAAAATCAATCATAAACCTATTACATGTTAATTTGTGCAACTTTTTAATGAAAAGTAACTACTGTAAACAAAAATAGACATTGACTATCTCCTTAGTCCCTGATGTAGACTCAGAATTTCATACCTGCTCCTTTTTCCAGTGTTTTGTGATAGCAGATTTTCTGTATACTTTCTGGGTAAATGGGCTTGTGATACAATGAAGGGAAAAGATAAAATCATTTGAATGGTGTGTTGAATGTGCCTTCAGTGTTGTGAAAGGATTTCAGGTGGCCACCCTCTCAAGCCTAGTTCAGAAAAATTTGAAATGTATACAGGCCTTGATTAAGCTTAGTTCTCAATTTTAGATATGCATTTTATAATATTAAAACAAAATTTTTAGCACTTGTCATTCCATTCTATTCTGTGTCAGTACTTTAAATTAACCCCTTGCATGGGAAGTTTTCTTTTTCCATAATTGGAAATGAAGTAGGGAAGAGAGGTTAGAGTTACTATGGGTATGTAGATATAATGTGCACCCTGGGACACGTTTTTTGTCAGGTAAAAACATAGCACTGACCTAGGACTGAATAGTAACATATTAGACAAGTTCTCTTCAAGATTTTGGTTAGTAAACTTAACTGTCCTGAAGATTGTGTCTGGATGTAAATTGCTAAATATGCTACTTAGGCAGATTTTACACGTATGTATGCGCGCCCACACAAAACGAAACAAAACAAAAAAAGAACAGAACTTTTTGGCAAAAGCAGCAGCGTGTTTGTATGCTGTTTCAAACTCAGCTCCTCCTCCCTGAATGTGACAATTTACCATCACGTTGCGGAGCGCTGGTTTAAGCCAACCTGATCTACTCTAGCCTAGTATCCTTTGTCTGCTTGCCTCAGATATCATTCACCTCTCCCTAATCCAATAACTGTGTAACCACTTGTCAGGTAAACTATTTTTTTAATAACATCTATAAAAGGGATTATTTTGCATAATTAGATACAGGTGGTAAAGAAGAAAGTTTTGAATTTGGTTTTTTGTGATTGGGTTCCTGAGCCTTGGTTGTAGCTTACTATTGAAAGTTAAAGGTTGAAAATTAGTTCTCCACTGCTTCGTAAGGTCTGGAGGCACAGGGCTGATGTCTAGTATTATCAGTATTTCAAATTGTAATCTAAGACTCTAAACATGAATTTGCAATAGTTTTATACCTGCCTTGAAGATTACTTGGGGCACTTCTATAGTCAGTGTCAGTTCAGTGGGGAAGACTGGCCTTTGGAAACGAGAGTTTTTGAGCCTTTTTTTTTATCACTAGTGTTGTGACATAGATAGTTTATAAGTTTGCTTTGTTATGGGTAAACTTAAGGCTTGAGGGAGCTAGCACAGAATAAGAGTTTTATTTCCTGCAGCTTTAAAATTGTTCTACTCCCCACTGTGATGAACCCAGAAGGATAGGCTACTGTAGTATCACTTTGTCATACTGATCACAAAAGATTTTAAAGATTTTACCAGATAGCTTGAGCTAAATAGAGACATTTGACTCAGGCATGGTAGCACACACCTATAATCCCAGCACTCAGGAGACTGAGGCCATCCTGAGCTACAAAGTTCAAAGCCAGCCTGAACTACATAGTGATACCCTGTCTCAAAACAAAACAATAAATCGCAATAAGGCAGCTAACTGGACCTTTCAGGGCTTTCTAATTTTATTGTGATTGTACATAGCTTATACAATGCCTGCAAGAGACTATATCTAAAAATTTTTGAAAGACTGATTTTAAATTGTTTTACACTTGATTTCATCTCATAGATTTTGAAGGTGAAACAAATTCATAGCTTTTAAATGGCTTTCTTTTTAAATTTGTGGTGCCTTAATTCACTAATGTACATATAGGCAGCCATTCTCTGTTACACTCTATATTATTGCTGTTGTTCCTTAATTTAGAACCAGTGATTTCATGCCATGATAACAGTTGAGAGTGGGTTCCAGCAATTAAAATTATGGTAATGAGCTTTTGTGATGCTTTCTAAAGTCAAAAAATTTCATTAGTTTCACATTTTTTTTCCTGTGCCTATCTTTTTATCTTTTTTAGTGCTTTGTTTTCTTTGACAGTTCTTGTAGACTTAAATGTTCTAAAATAGAAAGTTAGTAATTAGGTTGTAGATCAGGATACATGTATCATTTTTTTTTTCCATGTGTATACTTTGAAAGCCATTGACAATATTTTCTAACAGGTAATTATGTAATATTAACATTTTCTAATTTTTAAAATGTTATTTTTAAGCCTTATGATTCTGCAGATGACTGGTCTGAGCATATTAGCTCTTCTGGGAAAAAATATTACTACAATTGCCGAACAGAAGTTTCACAGTGGGAAAAACCAAAAGAGTGGCTTGAAAGGTATTTGCTTGTAACCAAATTAAATATTACTTAATTCTGCAGGTTAAACACCTGATGGCATTAAAGGCTGTAATTTTAGGTTTATTATAACAATGCCCAGCACTCATTTTAATTTCATTTATTGGCCCATTATCTTGTGCTTTCACAGTTTGTCTTAAAAACAGATGTAGGGCAGAAAGGGAACTGTTGGGAGCCTTTGGAAGAGTCAATGTATTAATAAACGTATTAATGTATATTTATGCATATTCCTTTGATTAGAAGTCTATATAATCTTCATGTCATTTTTCTGACATGCATAGAATTAATATTACAAAGTTTTGATTGTAGGATTAGTACGAATAACTGATACAGTTTTGCCATGAGTGAAAATACCAGTTTTTGATACATCCCATCTCCTGCAGCAGTTGAATAATAGACTATGCTCAGTTCTTGTTTTATGCATAACATTTTGTTAAGCATTTGGCCAGAGTAGTAGTTGTGGGTACTGAGGACCTTGATGTGATTTTTATGACTTTATTTTCTTACTTTTAGAGAACAGAGACAAAAAGAAGCAAATAAGGTGGCAGTTAATAGCTTCCCAAAAGATAGGGATTACAGAAGAGAGGTGATGCAAGCAACAGCCACTAGTGGGTTTGCCAGTGGAAGTGAGTATTAATTTTGTTTATTTTTCACATTTACATATATTGTCTACATGTGTAAATTAAGGACATATGATTGCTTTCATGTTGGATGTGTCTCCAACCCTTTCCTGAAAAGGGAGAGGGTACACAGTGATATTATACATTTATGTATTTTTCAGTATTCATAATGCCTTTGATGCAGTTTGAATTGTTAGTAAGACTTCATATTGGTTTTTATTTTTTACAAAGCAAAAAACATGCGATGACTCCAGTATCCTCAGTTTTTCTGTCCTATTAAACAGGACGTAGAACTCCCTGGCTTTCAGCCTGGTATATACAGTGATGACACCAAAACTTACCTATACATGAGTAGATGATTCTCTGGCTTAGGAGTTTTAAACTTTATAGCAGTATGAAAATCTACTCATACAATTACTCTGTTTTTCATTTTTTGTACAGTGATAAATTACATCAGTGACATAATACTTTATTATAAAATAGGCTTTATGTTAGATGATCTGCCCAACTGTAGGCTTAAGTGTACTGAGCATGTAGTGAACAGGTAGGCTAGCCCAAGCTCTGATTTTCAGTAGGTTTAAGTATATTAAATTCATTTTCTATTCCTACGTTTATTGGGATATAACCCCCTTGCTAAGTCAGGGACTATCTGTATTTGGAAATTCATTTCATTGTGATTATATAGATCTTTAGTACAGCTCTATACAGAGAATTTCCACAGAATTACCAAAATTCTATGTAGAAAACTGTTCTAGAACCTCTTGTTCAAAGGTGCTCTTCAGCAATAAGTAAAACTGTGAGCACACTTTAATGTTACTTTGAGGCCAGAATTTGTGAAAATGGGATGATTTGGGTAACATACATTTGTTTTTAATTAATTCTCTCCCTCTCTTTCTCTCTTGTTTTTTTTGTACCGGGAATCAAACTCGACCTTGTGCTTACCAGGCAGGCGCTGCATCACTGAGATCTATCCCCAGCTCTTAATTAATTCTCTGAATTTAAAGTTGTACTAAAAGTTTCCATGTTGCTATGTTATTTCCCTTTCCTCAGATAAAATTTAAATCCCATATAGAGTTCTTTATTGAACTTTGAGACTTTAGAAGAATTTTAAGATGTACTCTGAGAATTCTAATGGCTAAGTTTTAAATCCCTATTTAACTCAGAAATCCAATTAATAGATAGATTTGGTCTCAACAGGAAAACTGATTGATTGATGGAAAAAATTAGTTAAAAACAGTTAACATAGTTCTGCATGACTGAATCTTTAGTCTTTTTATTTATTTTTGGTCTTTGGTGTTTTTCTCTGGTACCAGGAATCGAACTCACAACCTCACACTTGCCAGACAGGCGCTGTGCTGCTGAGCTAAATCCCCAGCCCCCTGAATCTTTAAACTGTTTCTTAGAACATTAAACTTTAGATCACATATTAGTACATTACTGAATTTTTTAAAAAGTGTTTGAGCAGTGTTTTAAGTCCCCAAAGTTAAGAAATAAAATAAAATTGTGCTTTGAGATAGACTTGATCTAGTCTCTTCACTTTTTAAGGAACTGACTTAAATAAATAGCACCCAGGTTGTAGAACTCCTGAGCAAATAGAGGAATTGGATCATAGAGGAGGGAGTAACCCCTGGGTGTAAAATTAACCTTTTTGGTAAACATAAGTATAATATAGAGGATGCAGCATTGTGTCTTTGCTAACTAGATCCTAGAGTTAGTACTGCTAGATTGGACTGGTGGCTCTCAAATGAGGAAAAGGAGCAAAACCTAGTAATTCTTTCTAAAGTAACCTGTCATTTAAGTCACTGTTCCCTGGGGTAGAGTACATAAAGGGAGAAATTAGAGATCTGATTCCAGAAAACTGATGGGAAAGCAAAGTGGTTTCTTTGTGTGTTATGTGTTCAGTTAAGCATCTCTGTGCAACTTTTTACAGTGGTACATTGGTTCAGAAATTTAATTTCTTCCACAATTTTGGAAAAATGGCCACATTTGTGTTCGTGCAGGAAAGATGCCTGTGGTTATGCTTGTTACCTGATGCAGAGTTCCTAAACAAAATTTTGCTGAATGTTTCTTTCTGTTTACAAACCAAATTGTTCCTAAGCAAAAGTGTTCATGAACTGAGGTACCACTATATTTCAAATAAATGTTTTCTTTTTATTTTTTTGTTCATTTTTCAAAAGTAAGGCATGCCTATTATTAGAAACGAGAAGAGAAGTAAAGTTTTTTAATTCCATGATCCAGGAACATTTTGGCACATACTTTTTTTTGAGAGAGATAACATATATTAAGTATACATATATGTATACCTCTTTTAGAGATACGTATATAGATATATCTTGAGTATTTTGCCCCAAAATGGGGTTATCACAGGTTATAATCTGTTTTGCTTAATATTTCAGCAGTACATTTCCATTTGGGTTTGTAATTTAATATTTGTTATATTGCCTGCATAGTACTATGTTTATTTATAAATAAACCCCTATGCAGGGATACTTGGGTCAGTTTTTTTTTATCCTTGTGAACAAGGTGATGATTCATATATCTGCCTACTTACCTGAAGTTAATTTCCTAGATGTATACATGATGAGTCAGTGTGTGTGTGTGGCTGTAGTTCTGTGCATATCAGTTTTTTTAGATTTTAGTTATACAGTTTAATTTTCACTGCTCCCCTGAGCTGTATGTGTTGTGGTAGTAATAAAGTCAGCCATTTAAATGTTTGATGTTGTCTATCAAAGAACATTGGCAGTTTCCCCATGTGTACAGTTTATATTGATAGAAAAAGGGATTATGAAGCTTTTTTATATGTAAAGATACTTGATAGTGAAAATTATAGGCTTAAAATTTTTATTTTGGTATTTACTACTATTGGGTTTTTTTGTTTTGTTTCGTTTTGCCTTTTTTTTAGACGGGGTCTCACTGTGCAGTTCACTTTGTAGCCCAGGGTGGTCTTGAACTCGTAACAATCCTCCCTCAGCTTTCTGAGTGCTGAGATTACAGGCATATGTGCATGTGCCACTACACCTGGCTACAGGGTTTTTTTTGTTCTTAGTCTGTGCACAGGGTGATTGCTCTTAAGTTTAGAGAAACTTCGTTTGGGGTTTCTGATAGTATAAGTGGCTTGCCAAATTATGAAGTTTTTTACTGTGCAAGACTCTTATTCTGTAGCTTGTAGACCATCGTGCCTACTAGATGCCAGTAGCATACCTCCTCTCTACTCCTAAAGATGTAGAAATATACAAGGGGGGTGGGGGTATAAATAGAGCCACTTATTTAACTGTTCTATCTAGAGTTTGTAATACAAGCTGTTGCTTCCCCTGTTGCTATAATGTTGCTCTTTTCAGTTTACAAAAATTTGAAGTTACTAGTTTTAATTTTCATCTCAGCATATACATGATACGTTTTGATTGGCCCTACAAAACTGAAAGAGAATTTTCTAGATCAAGAAAGAAAAGTTTATCCAGGTGTGGTGGCGCACGCCTGTAATCCCAGCACTTGGGAGGCTGAGGCAGGAGGATCATTGCGAGTTTGAGGCCAGCCTGGGCTACAAAGTGAGTTCAAGACCAGCCTTAACTGCATAGTGAGACCCTGTCTCAAAAAGACAAAAGAAAGGAAAGTTCTAGGTATTCAAGTGATATGGTTAGGCATAGCATAGTATTACTCCTGTTCTATCTGTTATTAAAGGTTTGTATAACACCAGATTTTATATTGGCACATTGTTAAAGACCTTGTATTTTGGTCTTTGATTTAAATTTTTTGGCAGTATTTCACTATGCATGGATATAACATGAAATTGTATATAGACACCCTTTTAAAACTTACATTTTGAGGGTATTTCTTTGATCAGTCTTGGTCTTTATAATTAGAAGAGCTGTGAATCAGAAAACATAATACAGTATTCAACAGAGAGGGTATCCTTTGGTACAATTGTCATTACCTATCATGTACTTGAATCTTGGGGTGTTTCTTGGAGGTTACTTTAACTCTTTGGTTATTTAGATTGAAATATTACAGTTTTTAGAGACTTTAATAAGTAATAAGCTATTAACATGATTGAAATTCTCCTTACATACTGTTTTGTGGAGGCATAGTACTAAGATTTAAATTGTTAATAGTTTTGACTATCAGAGTATCTACTTTTAAATTGAAAGAGAATATATTTCAATGTAACTCGTGGTAGATTTTTCTGATTATGCTGTGGGTATAGGGCTTCTGTTTGCAGGTAGCACATAAATCATAATTTTGTTACTTTTACATCTTTTTTTTTTTTTTTTTTTTTACTTTTACATCCTTACTACTAAAAATACTGGTTATTGAGTGTACAGTTTACCATAAGTTCAACTATCTTAAAATGAAGTCACTTAATCCCTAAATTGCTTGGGAGCCCACTAGTTGACTGTCTCAATATTCAGAAAATCAAGCTAACAAAGCTAATATTCTTTTTCAGTTGAACTACTATGGGTAATTTAGTCAGGCATTAACTAGATCTGTATTTTTAAAGACTGTAACATTCACTTTTAAAATTTTTTAAACATTTTGAGTGAAATGTTATAGCACCATATTGGAGGTTTTGTTTGTTTTTGTTTTTTATATTTTATTTAAGCTACAGCATGGTTCTAAAGAATACTAAGAAACTACCAGCCCACTTGAAGTATAGATTGGTATTTAAACTCTTATTTTTTAATATATTCCAATGGTAAAACTGCAGACACTTAACTGGGCTTGCAGTTTTATTTAAAAAAAAAAAAAAAAAAGATACATAAGTATGTTGCTAAATTAGCTGATGTTAAAGACAGGATTCTAACGTAATCTTTTTTCTTCCCCTTCTGTCACTCCAACATCTCTTTTTTCGAACTATGAACTGTAAAGTGGAAGACAAGCATTCCAGTGATGCCAGTAGTTTGCTCCCACAGAACATTTTGTCTCAGACAAGCAGACACAATGACAGAGACTACAGACTGCCAAGAGCAGAGACTCACAGTAGCTCTACGCCAGTACAGCACCCCATCAAACCAGTGGTTCATCCAACTGCTACCCCAAGCACTGTTCCTTCTAGTCCATTTACGCTACAGTCTGATCACCAGCCAAAGAAATCATTTGATGCTAATGGAGCATCTACTTTATCAAAACTGCCTACACCCACATCTTCTGTCCCTGCACAGAAAACAGAAAGAAAAGGTATGCCATTTTTCCTGGATGCTGCACGTTGAACTATAGTTTCTGATAAATGACATTTCCTTTGGCTTACATAAGGCTTAAGTATAAATTCTTTTTTTCCTTTTTTTTTTGCGTTGCTACATAGATGTAGGTCTAGAGTTAGTCATATGTAGCTTTTTCTTTTAATTTATGATACTAAGACTCAATTCTTTTTTGCCTTTGACCCTGAAGTTAGTACTTCATTTAAATTGTTTAACAATGGTTTAACTAGTCAAATGACTGTCCCTTCATATTTGCATAAAATTTTTTAATTTTTGTGATAATTATCTTGATTAGAAATTGTGTCCATTTTCTAAAGTTTAATGCAGATATAAGCATTTTTAACCTTATCATTTCTCTATATCAATCAGTTTTTTATTGGTACATAATAGTAATACAAAATAATAAGATTGGTTTTTATATATTGGCATACACATATAACATATTTTGATGTTTTTCTTCGCTCTTAGCTCCCTCTCCTTTTCATCTCCCTTACCCCCATTCCTTCCTTATCTCTAAGTTTAGATTCACGTTTCTACCAGGTTACTGGCTTCAGTTTGTGAGATAGAAAACTCACAACCGAGTCTCACGGGCTTAAGGATAAGACATGTTAGTGTCTAAAGCAGACCTTAAATCTGAAGGTTACAAATAAACATTGTATTCAATTGTGTTTCTACAACTGTGTTAATAAACATGTTCAAAAAGTTACAGTAAAAATTGGTAACAGTCACTTGGGAGGTATAAGCAATGTGACAAGTGTATTTGCATAGGCTCTTCACAGTTCTAACTTGTTACATTATCTGATGTCTTGACAATCTAAAGAAATTAAAAGGCAGCAAGTACACAAATTACCTTGGCTCCTCAGCTCAGGAACTTAATTCTTTCCACAATTACGGTCGTAAACCAAATCAGATTTTCCCATAAGGTCACCATTGAACCTATGAGTTGATTAGGTTCATGACCAGTTTGGTTTGTTTGTTTGTTTTTGCGGTACCGGGGATCGAACTCACAACCTTGTGCTTGCCAGGCAGGCGCTTATACCACTGAGCTATATCCCCAGCCCTGACCATTTTGGTTTGTGACCACAATCATGAAAAGAATTAAACATTCATGAACTGAGGCACCACTATATCATGCATGGGTCCACTAGCAGATGTTAATGTTGAACTTTGAAATGTCCAGTGGAGTTAGGAGACAGTCATGAACCTTTAAGCCAAATCTGTTTATTGATCTATTCCACATTGACTTAATTTCTTCACAAGTGTCAAATAATTGGATTGCTTCTGGTTTCACCTCTCCTGCACAGATTCTTCGACTGTTTCTTGGTACTGTAGCAGTTATGTAATACTAAAAACTATGTAGTTTTTTACCATACAGTGCAAAATATATCACAGATTGAAATTCATTTTAAATATTGTAAGTTTAAAGGTGGCTTATGCCAAAACCCATACATAAACATAAAATTTATTCTCTAAGTTTGCCCAAAAAATGCCTGAGAGATGAAATGTCAGTTAATATATTCTCAGTGGATACTTCAGTGTTTTAATTCTTGTAATTTTATTTGACTCTTTGGGTACAGCACAGTTTATTTTAAAACCCATGTCAGTTAAAAAAAATGCCAGCCAAGTGCAGTTGTACCCACCTGTTGTAGTCGTGGCTATTTGAGATGCTCAGGTGAGAGGATCACTTGAGTCCGCAATTCAAGACTAGTGTAGGGAGTAATACATCTAGATCCTGTCACAGGAAAAACAAACAACAACAGTATCACACAGCCATATAAAATTCTTCATCTCATTTCACTTTTGTATATTTAGCACTTAATAGCTCTCCTCTTTCCAAGTTTTGTCCTTGACTTCAGTGATACTACTCTCTAATTTTTAGTTCTTGTTTCTCCTTGCTCTGTAATATTAATACCATTTAGCCATTTTGTTTTGTTCTTTTTCTTACACAACATGTCCTTTTTTGATAGTCATTCTCTGTGATTGTCATGACATCCAAATTGTTAATTCTTCTTACTTTTACTTCCTTAAGTTCTTGGTACATTTTTGCTGGTAGCATTTCAGATTCCTCCCTTTTCCCCTAACTTATCCTTGGATTCTCAGTACTTAACAGCACTATTTCCCACCTTCCAGCTTTTCCTTGCTCTTTAACATTCTTACCCACCTACCTACCCTCTCTCTTCTGCTCACCCTTGGCAAATCTTAGGTAATTAATTTGGGTATATTCTTTCTGCTCTAGCCACTGTGGTATTCTGCTTCCATCTTAGTCTGTCCTCTTAGTGTCATAATTGTAAATTTAAAATGGATTTTATCATATCTTTCTAATGGTTTCTCATTGGTCAGAGTCCATATACTTTATAGTAAGAGTATAGCAACCCTTGACAGTCTAGGTGGAGTCTGCCGTATTCTATCATTTCTTTGTTGCAGACCTGGATAGTTTTTAGAATGTTACGTTCTTTAAGGCTTTACCAAGTAAGATGTGTGTTCTTCTTTTCCTATCTTACTGAAGTCAGGAGTTTTTTAAGACCCAGCTCTGTCGTTCTAGTATCAGTAAACTTCTCTCAATCTTTCTTTTAAGTGCTTGTGCTTTTGTCTGTTACAGCACTGATAATTTTAATTTTTTAAAGTATATCATACCCTTTTAGGGCTAGTCATTTTTTTTTATGCACTTTATATTTGAATATTACCTTCTGGTCTCTCACTGCTTTGAGCTTCATTTCTGACAAACGTAATTAAAAATTACACTAATTTGAAGCTTACAGGAAAAAACTTGATTACCTTCAAATTGTCTGTTTATACAGAGGAAATTGTACAGTCTTTCCTAAATGTTTCCTTTGCGTGTTAATTGAAGGCACATTTCACTTACTTAAATGTTGATCATATGATTATTCTCCAGTTAGTGTAAATTTGTGAAGTGTCCATTAATTTGAAATTACTCCTTTCTCAGGGGAAACATCTATGAGACATCTTTTATTTGGGTTTTCCTTAACAGTTACAGTTAAGGACTGGGGGTATATTTCAGTGGTAGAGCATTTGCCTACCATGAATGAGGCCCTAAGTTTGATCCCCAGCACTGCAAACAAAAAATAATTACATAATTTCCACCAAAGATTGATAGTTCAAATCAGGTTGCTCTGTTAGGTCTTAAATGCCTGTGGTATGATGAAGTGATAGTATCTAAAGATGTCAGTGGTAGCATGAGGAACTAATACAAAAGCAGGATGTTTGTTTTCTTACCTGCTGCTCTAACCCCAGTGCTTGATAGATACTAAGCAGTGTACAAATATTTGTTGTAGGTGGATAAATAGCTGCAAGAGAGATAATGCATTGAAGGTTGGAGAAGTTAACTGCATTGGTCGTAGCATTTAGAGTGCATATGTGTTACATAACTGTTACAGCTAATTAAAGGACTCCAGCAGTAGATTAGATCTGTTAATGCCATTGTGTCACTTGAGAGAAAGAATAAAAGATAAACTGAAAGTTTTTAATTGCTGAAGAGACAGAAGTGTGGAGAAGCTATGTAAATGCTTTCACAGCAATCCTGGAGTTGGATAGAGTAAAACGGGAACCATTTAAGTCAGTATCTGTTTTAAGTAACATTTAAGCATTCATTGATGAGGTCATTTTATTGCCCAATCACACACCAAAGCAATATCTCCTTTTACACTAAAAAAAAACACAAAACTCCATCAGTTGACATCCCATTACCCTCTTCATAGGTTATAACTCCATAGTCACTTGTGGATGAGTGAAATGAAAAAGCAGGCAGGCAATAAATGTCCTTGTTTACTCTGGCCAAGTAAGTGTCATTGTCAGCGTAATGACCTCAGTTAGCAATTTTTCATTTAGTAATTCAGTTATGATTTATTAAAATGGATAAGTTTGAAAACAAAGTAGTCACAGAAGCAGACCTCAGTGCCTCAGGCTAACTCTTGAGTGGGTTGGTGCATGTGGGTTCCATAAGGGTGTGGGAAGAAAGATCAGTTAGGTATTAATGAGGTTTTAGTCATGTGGAGTAAAATTCCCTTTTGTGTTTTTGTAGTACCTATAGACAAATTTGAATAAACATTAAGACTTTAGTACATGTTAAGACATTAACTTTATGTGGATGACTTAGAAGGTCATTAACTCATGGATGAGTTTTAGCTCCAATTGCATTGTTTTAAAATAGCTTGGGGTTAGTAAATATTCATGAAAAGTTAGGGAACTTTGCTATAGAGTTACTCAGATAATTGTCGAATAACTGAATATGTTAATGGAGGAATTTAATCTTAGTTTAAATCCAGTTTAGTCAGCATACTAAAGATGGCATTAATTCAACTTAGTAAAGATGATGAGGAGAAACAACTGTGATTAAAAAAAGAGGACTGTATTAGAAAATCTTGCTTATAACTTGGGGATAAGAAAGACCTTCTTAATCATTAAGACCTAAAATGAATTTACCTTGAATAAGTCGATACATTTGTTCATGCCTGACAGAATAAACAATGAAAGATAACAAACTAGGAAAAAATACTTTCCTAGGAATTTATGCAAAGCAATGCAAAAAGAAAGTCTAATAGAGAAATGGGCAAAGGATATGAACAAGCAATTAGATTTGATTGCTAGCCTTATTTCCTTAACTGAAAATGAGCCAAAGACCTAATTTCAAAAGTTAAAACTATAAAACTCTTAGAAAAAACACAGGAGAAAACCTTCCTGATGTTGGATTTGTCAGTGATTTCTTAGACATAACGCCAAATGTGTAGATCCAAAAAAAATAGATGTTGGACTTGATCGGTATAACAAACTTGTGCATCAAAGAAGACTATCAGGGCAAACAAGATAAACCATAGATTATGAGAAAATACTGATAAATCATATATGTGATAAGGGATTAGTAGCAACAGCAAAAACCACCCCAATTTAATGATGGGAAGAATTTGAATGTTTCTCTGAAGAATATATTCTAATAGCCATAAAAACATGAAAAGATGCTGAGTA